AGTAAAAGAGGTAAGAGCTGCTAGAGCAAGACTAGAAGTGTATGACAAGGAAGAAACCATTCACTCTGCTAACCAAAATGATGAGCTGCTACAGCCTGTAAGCGTTCCCGCACACAAACCTGTGTATTCATCCTCAGTTAAGCCAACACTCAATGAAAGGGTATCATCACCAACTCCCAATGCTGATGTGTCTTACCTTGCACAAGCTGTCCAAGACAGTATAGCATTAAACAGACTTCCTATGCCGGAGCCTACAGTTTTTACTGGTGACCCCATTCACTTCATAGAGTGGAAAGCTTCATCCCAATCACTCATTGACAAAAGACATATTTCCTCAGCAGATAAGTTATACTACTTGAAGAAGTATGTTGCTGGGTCTGCTCTGAAAACCCTAGAAGGCATCTTTTACAGAAACGATGAGGAAGCTTACAAGGATGCATGGAAAAGGCTTCAAGATCGCTATGGACAGCCATTCACTATTCAAAGAGCATTCCGAGAGAAACTCACAAGCTGGCCCAGAATTCAGCCCAAGGACTCAGAAATTTCTCAGATTTCCTGAATACATGTAACGACGCTATGCCTCATGTGAAGGGACTGGAAATACTGAATGACTGTGAAGAGAATAGGAAACTTGTGAGCAAACTTCCTGATTGGGTGGCTGCTCGCTGGAACTGCCAAGCCACACAAACGAGTGAGACGCAAGATTTTGCACATTTCATGTCCATTGAGGCTGAGGTGGCCTGCAACCCAGTCACTTCCTTTCATGCCCTACTATGTGTCACAGAGTATCTATTAAGGAGATGCCTGCTGTAACACCAACTGATGTGATCAAAGTGCTGGAGTCAAATTTCAAGGATACCGAAGAAAACACAAGAGTGGTGTCTCAAGAGGACATTATGTTCTTGAACAAACTGGGAAAAAACATTAGGATGAACAAAGACAGCCACTTGGAAATGCCTCTTCCATTCAAGAAAAGACCCTGTCTTCCAAATAATGAGCCTCTTGCGGTCACAAGACTTCAGCATCTAAAGCGAAGATTAATGAAGGACCAGGAGTACAGAGAGTGTTATGTTAAGTTCATGGAAGACGTAATAGAGAATGGTGATGCAGAAGGAGTCATTGATGAAGGAAGAGAAGGAGAAAAATGGTACATCCCTCATCACGGAGTGTATCACTCGAAGAAGCCAGGGAAATTACGTGTGGTTTTCGACTGCTCTGACAGATTCAAGGGAACCAGCTTGAACGATCATCTTCTTACAGGCCCTGACCTGATGAACAGCCTGACTGGCATTCTTTTGCGGTTCAGACAGTACCCTGTAGCCCTGATGTGTGATATTTATAGGATGTTCCACCAGTTCCATGTTGACGAAGCAGATCGTGATTACTTGCGCTTTCTGTGGTGGAGAAATGGAGATTTAAACTCACAGCCTCAAACGTTCCGCATGAGAGTACATCTGTTTGGTGCCTCGTCGTCCCCCGGATGTGCTAATTATGGACTAAAGCATCTTGCAAGAGAAGGTGAACATCTGTACCCCCTGGGTTCACAATTTATTATGCAGGATTTCTACATGGATGATGGAGTCTCCAGTGTGGAAAGTGCAGAGAAGGCCATCAAGTTGGCTCGAGAAACACGCCAGCTTTGTGCACTAGGAGGTTTAAGGTTGCATAAATTTGTATCCAATGACAAGGCAGTTTTGCAGACAATACCGTCCTCTGAGTGTGCTGTAGATGTTACATCAGTCAATCTCTCCCTCACTGACCAGCCTTTGGAAAGAGCCTTGGGCATTTACTGGCATCTGGAACATGATCATTTCAAATTTCGAGTCATTGTTAAGGACCAGCCAGCAACCCGTAGAGGTATACTGTCTACTGTGGCCTCGTTGTTCGACCCCTTAGGGTTTCTTGCACCATTCTTGCTCAAAGGAAAGACTGTTCTTCAAGATATGTGCTGAAATGGCATGGGCTGGGATGATCCCTTACCTAATGGTTTGCAGCCAAGTTGGGAGCACTGGAAGGCCAATCTTCTTAACTTGGAGAAGATTCAGGCACCTTGTTGTATTGTGCCTGCTGGGTTTGGGACAATCACAAGGAGAGAGATTCATCACTTCTCAGATGCCAGCATGAGAGGATATGGCCAGTGCTCATACCTTAGGCTCGAGAATGAGCAAGGTGACATCCATTGTTCTTTGCTCATGGCAAAATCTAGAGTAGCCCCGCTTAAGGTCACCACAATCCCTCGGTTAGAGTTGACTGCTGCGGTTGTGTCAGTTGCAGTGAATGATATGTTGAAGGAAGAAATGAACCTAGCAGATGCAGAGGCATATTTCTGGACTGACTCTCAAGTAGTCTTAGGTTATATAAACAATGAAGCTCGCCGCTTCCACACGTTTGTCACGAATCGAGTTCAGAGAATTCATTGCACTACTCCTCAACAGTGGCGATACATTCCTTCGGATGAAAATCCAGCCGACTATGCATCACGAGGTCTGAGTGTTAATGGTCTGGTCACTTCCAGCTGGTTCAGAGGACCGAACATCTTGTGGGAACAGCAAATACCTTCCCCTGTGGATGTTAACACACAACTTCCAATCGGTGACCCAGAGGTCAAGAAGGCTCAGTCACTGAACACGCAAACATTACAGTATTCCTGCTTATCCAACCGTCTCACAAGGATGTCCTCATGGTCCAAAGTCATCCAAGCAGTTGCACGTCTACTTCGTCGTGTCAGGAAGGACAAGTCCAGCGACCACAGTACAGTGGCAGAACGTGAGGATGCTAAGTGCATCATCATCAAGGACTTACAGAGTCATATATATGCAGAAGAGATAGCCTTACTCCGTAAGGGCAAACAGCTCCCACGCAGCAACAGGCTATATAATCTAGACGCCTTCGTTGATCACGATGGATTGCTCAAGGTGGGAGGAAGGCTTTGTGATGCTTCTGTCCCTAACTCTGTTAAACATCCAGTGATAATTCCAAAGGAACATCATCTTACAAAACTTCTGATCACTGATTGTCATGAAAAAATGACACATCAAGGAAAGGCTTGACTATAAATGAGATCAGATCAAGAGGATTTTGGATAACAGGAGTAAACAGGACTGTAGCAGCCTTTGTACGACAGTGTGTGAGATGTCGCAAGCTTCGCAGACCAACAGAAGAGCAAAAAATGGTAAACCTGCCCTCAGAGCGCATAGATCCATCCCCTCCATTCACATACTGTGGAATGGATGTTTTTGGTCCGTTCATCACCAGACAAGGTCATAAATTGTACAAGAGGTATGGACTTCTCTTTTCTTGTTTCTGTTGCAGAGCCATCCATATTGAGATGCTGGATGACATGTCCACGGACGCCTTTATCAATGGCCTGCGTTGTTTCATCGCCATTAGAGGAGCAGTTCATCAAATAAGGTGTGACCAAGGCAGTAATTTCATTGGAGCCAAGAATGAGCTCGCCAAGGCCATTGAAGAGATTGACACCAACCGTCTGGTAACATTCTTAGCAGAAAAACAATGTGACTTTGTCTTCAACGCACCCCATGCAAGTCACACTGGCGGAGTTTGGGAGAGACAGATTAGAACTAAATCCTTTATTCTTCAACCGGGCTGTTACAAGCTGAACGTGACAATATATATCTTTTACAGGAGACAGTTTTGACAATGTAAAAAAAAAAAGTTTAACTCTTTGTTTAGATTATTATTATTATTATTATTTTTCTTAATATTTGTTTCTATTTTCTTTTTTTTCATTTTATAAGGGAATTATGAGACTATGAAATACCTGAGTGAAATGTATTGTTCATACCATTTTTAAATCAGTTTAGTTTGATTATTCATTTTTTTATTAATCTTTCTTACTGATACTATAATAAAATGCGAAAAAATGTGTAATCATATTACAGGAATGGGCAATTATGAGTATTATGAATTATGAATTTTGTTTACTGTAATTACTTTTAATTGAACTGAGCTGGATAGACTTGTTATAGGATTACAAGCTAAGCTCCTCTTTCAATAGTTAGTCCTCTTTCAGTTTTTCCACCCATACCAATCCCACATCACATCTGCCAGCTTTTTCTGAAATAAAAATATTAAAGTTTTAAACACATATTTATGATTTGATGTCTTAACTCACATTTGAATAGTGATTTTAAAGTGATTTTGTAACTATTTTCATTATGTTCTGAACTGAGATCACTCTGTTGTGATCAGAACCAATCACACTAGATGAGATGCACATCCTCTACTCTAGATCCACCAGTGGTGTGCTGGGTTTTAGAGGATGATAAAGCATTGGTATAACCCAGTGCAGCTGCCTGTCTCTTAATCTAATGGGAGATCTGACACCAGGACAGCGGATAGCAACAACAGCCGTAAAAACAGGCACACATCACCCATGGGAAAGAGGCAGAGAAAGACAGAGTTGAAAAGATGCAAAGATGCCAGAGTCATAACTTGAAATAACCTGAAAGCTAATACTGTTTTTTTTTTTTTACATATTGAATAAATGATCCCACTCTCAACTCTTGTTTTGGATAGTTTTGTGTAACATAACCATATAAATCCCTGTAATCACAAAAAATGTAAACCATCTCCATCTAGTGGTAGACTGAAATACTACTTATTACTCTAGCAATGCTTTGACAAAGGCCTCTCGGCGACAGGCGGCCCGTGGGCCAAAACTGGAACACACATTTAGCTAGCTTGATAGAGAAGGATCACTCAAATCAGAAAGAATGTGAAGGCTATGAGGACGGCAATGGACACGAGCGGGAAGTTATAGTTCTCAAGGAATTTGTTTGTTCCTTCTATACTGAATATTTTCAGCTGAAAGCATGATTTAAACAAGTACTACAACACTTATTCACATGCAGCCGCTCTCTCAATAATGCATTCAAACAAATGTAATCTTACAGTACTTCAACTGTATCCGATCTTCGAATGAGCAGAAATCTGTAAGAAATGCTTTGATTAGGTAAAATAACTGAGGAAAACATAGTTATTTTCATCACAAACAAAATTTGCACTGCAAAAAGAAGCAATTATACCTTTTAATGCTGACAACCATGTTATTAGCTTGTCATGTGGTAGAAAAAAAGTTTGCACACTAGTGTTCCAATAAGCCACTTTGAAACTCTTCTGCTATTTTATTTATTTAATTTTTTTAATATACGTTATGAACAGAACTGTGATATTTAAAACAAACCGAAATACTTTAGACGCGGAGCACAGTGTCACAGGCAATTCTAGTTGCATTTTTCATAAATTAATTTCTTAAATTATCCTTTGACTATTTTCTGGCTCACCATCTAGTGGCGAATTTTTTTTGGCCCGATGCCAAACTTACTTGCCGACCCCTGCTCTACACACTATCTTTGACATTTATTCCAATTAGGAACACTTGAATTCAATTACAAATAAAACATCTTTTTACTGATATAATATCACTACTGTGTTTTCATTTTTTGGACATCACCAATTGTGCACAAGTCAAAATCATTTCACTTTTCTTATCTTTTTGTCTTATCTTAAAAGGGGTAATTTCCCTTTTATTCTGTT